TACCTTTCCCCTTTTATCTGGTGACATGTTAGCAGTCTGATGTGATTATCCCTGTCTGTCTGCTACAGGAGTAAGTTAGCAAGCTACTGAAACTGCTGTTTGATTCTTGGATTCTCCAGCCTCTTTTTATTTGGTGCTGAGGCTTGAACAGTGCTGTCCTAACTCTTTGATTCCTCCTCCCAACTGTGTGGTGTGTTGCATGGTGGGGGGACCCTGTGACTTAAAGAGTCTGAAGAAAAGGTAATGAAAATAAATTAATAGCTGGTACAGTGGACAACTTCCATGTGGCAGTTAATAAGAAGTTAGGTTTGTATTTGCCAGCGTGGATTGATCACCAAGAAATCAGATGGAATGGTGGTGGTGGTGGTGGTGGTGGGGAGCCATGTGGGAAATGCTGTGTTTAAGCAAATTACTTAAAGGCTGCCCCAGTTTATGCATCTGTTCTGAGGATAATAACCCTGTTTGAAGGAGTAAATAAGTATATGTAAGATGTGTAAGACACTACTTGATACCTATTTGCATGAAAATTAAAAACTCAACAGAATATATGCTCTTCTATGCTCTTCTGTGAATAGATAAGCATAAACAGATACACATACTTTTAAAAAACATCGAGGTAAAATTCTGTAGGTTTTAGTATATTAAAAAGGCTGTGTGTCTGTCACCACTGATATAGATTGTTTTCCTTATTACCCCCAAATCCCTGTTAGGAGTCRCTCCCCATCCCCCTACCCTTGCCCACTGGCAACCTCTAATCCATTTGTTTCTGTGGACTCACCTATTCAGATGGATGSAACCATACAATATGTAGCCTTTTGTGTCTGGCTTATTTCACTTAGCACACTGTGTTTTGAAGTCTGTCCACACTATAGCGTAGATCAATACTTCATTCTTTTTATGAATGAATAGTATTCCATTGTGTATATACACCACATTTTGTTTATCCTTTAGTTAGTGAACACTTGAGTTGCTTTTATCTTTGGCTATTGTGAATAATGCAGCCATGAACACRAGTGTACAAATACCTGTGAGCCCTCTTTTTTCAATTCTTTGGGGTATATACCCAGAAGTGTAATTGCTGGATCGTATGATCACTGAAAACAGTGATTCTGTTTTCATATTTTGAGGAATTGCTCTACTGTTTTCTGTGGCAGCTCCAATATCTTAACATTCCTTCCTGCAATGTTATATCGGTTCCTAATTTTTCCCATGTCTTTGTCAACAATTATTTTACACTATTATAAGTATGTGTGTGTAGAAAGAGACAAGCCATTCTAATGGGCATGAAATGATATGTCCTTATGGCTTTGATTTGCATTTTCCTAATGTTTTCATATGACATACTTCTAAAAACTTCYGGAGAGACCACCACTTTCACCAAACTGAAAGTGGTTTCTTCTGTAGTTGTGTGTGGGGTATACCTCTTTTGGAAGCAGGTGGTTTAAAAAAAAATCCTAATTTATACAAGAWAGAATGTTTTTACAAGTATTACACAAATTAATGCTGGTTCATACCTGCACTTGATGTATATTGACATAGTCTTCACTACTTGAAATGTTGGTTGGGAAAGCTTATTGACCCCTGAAAATGGATAAAGCTCTTTACCTGACGAAGGACAGGTTTTGTTTTCCATTGCAGGTGATGCCAAATAAGGATTGAGTTGGCTTCAGTCTGTATGTTTATATTTTTCAGCTATATGGAGAAGTGAAGGATCTTATTATAAGACAAAGTGGTTAGGAGGGTGGACTCTGGAATTTGACAGTTGGGGCTTGAGTCATTTCTCCAGCACTTAACTATCCAAGTTCTAACATTATTAACATCCTGGTGCTGTAGTTTATGTGTCTACAAATGGGATAAAGTTACCTCATGGGATTGTGTCTATTAAATGAGTTAAAACAGATCAAACATTTGGGATGTTATTGCTACTTAGAAAGCAGTTGGCCMCAATTCATAACCCAGTGAAGGCTAGTGTGGTTAGAGAGATGAATGGGTCACACAGGAACTTCAGGGCACTTGTCAGGGATTGAGTTCTGTCCAAAATAGGAGGGAAAGCCCTTAAAGTTAGGTGTGACTTGATCCAGCTCAGCTTTTAAAACCCAGCCTAGCTCAGCAGTTCTCATTAGAAACATACTGTTAGCCACTTAGCTCCAGAGGCTCTTTCACTGTGACTTAAGAGGCTCTGTGAGTAGATGGCACCTTTCTTGGGCCCTCTGATCACATCACCTTTTAGAACTCTGAACTTCCACCTCCTCCCCATGTTGCAGGATTTAACTTGTGTGGGCTTTGATCTATGTAGCTCCAATGCCAGGACATCCATGTTGAATAGTAGGAGCTGAGCTGCCCCCTGGGCTTTCCCAGTGGTCAGAATGAAGTGCAGCAGCAGGATTGATAAGATTGTCAATTATCTGGTGTGTGAATGCAAGCCCGCTCAACTTGAAAATCATTTTGTTCCATTGTCTACTAAAAATGATTATTGGGATGCCAATATAGGCTTCCTTGTTTTGTCACATAGTTGGTCTTCTCATAGATAGATATAAACAAACTTCTGGGTAGATTTTACCCATATTCAACAACTGGTTCCTGTTGCTGTAGAATGTATTGAGCTGTATTTGAAGGAACGTCCCTTCATCTCCTAGCTCTACAAAATTGATTCAGTGGAGATGTTTCCCTATCTTGTTGAAATGAGATGGTCAAAATGACTTTTTCTGGTAAACTTTTCCCCATGTCTGACACTGGTTTGGGTATTTGGAAGGTTACAGGGACAGGTGTTCTAGTAAAGTTTTTAAAAAYGTTTTAGTAAAGTTTGTGTTGTGGTCAAAGGATATTAAGTGCTTCTGCTTTGAATATTACTTTAATTTTACATTTTTTTTTTTTTTGGTACTGAGGATTGAACCCAGGGTGCTTAATCACTGAGCCACATCCCTAGCCCTTTTTCATATTTCATTTAGAGACAGGGTCTCACTGAGTTGCTAAGTGCCTCACTAAGTTGCTGAGGCTGGCTTTGAACTCATGATCCTCCTGCCTCAGCCTCCCAAGCCACTGGGATTATAGGCATGCGGCCCCATGCCTGGCTTAATTTCACTTATTTTTAATGTTTGCTTTTTTACTTCCACATTTTTTTTGTATGAATTCATACAAATATCTGTTAGCTTAAATTACTATGGGCTTTTAAGGGAACCTAGAATTAGCTTCCTTTGCCTTTAAGACAAAAACTATTCCTCACTGAGCTAAGCATTGGGTTCAAAAGTGTAGCATGCCTCCTTCTCTTACAGAGCCTAGATCTTCTAGGTCTGTGCAGCTGTGTTGGAGAGCCACATTGAAGGAGTAACCCATTTCCAGAGGGACCTTCAGTTTACAGATGAGTGTATAGCTATAATGCTCAATGTTGTCCCTGAAACACATGTAACACATAAGCAAATAAGAAGATTTATAATCTAAGGTCATACACATGTTATAAATTGTCTGCCACCTTAAGCACAGAAGCCAGCGTGACAATGAGGAATTGATTACTTGTGACACTCCTGGCAATCACATCACTAAGGTTAATAATTATTAGTCTAGTGGGAGAAAAAAGATAAAGAGATTATAAAATGATATTGCTTTCATTTGCAGGATCAGGTATTCAGCAAGTGGGAGACAGAGAGTCACTTTACCCAGTATTGAGGGTGTGACTGGAGCGTAGGTGTGGGGGAAGTATATTGAGTTTATGGAAGAGGTTGGCAGTACCAGGCAACTGACAGCCTCTTAGGTCATGTTGAAATGTGGACAATTTACACCAGGGATTTGAAGCCGCTGAAATTTATGGCAGGGGGATAGCATTAGGGTTTGGGACTGGAGGCAAGCATGAAAGTCATACTCTTGTTCAGATAGTTTAGAGGCAGTGGGACCCGAGTAGTGGGTCCTAATATCAGGAAGCAAAAATCTTCAGAGTTAGAAACAAACAAAACCCCTAGGTCATTACTTACTAATGTTGATCTTAGTTATAATTCAGATATCATACAATCCATGGTTTAAAATGCAWTGCTTTTTAGTGTGTTAACTGACATGTACAACCATCACCTACAACTTTATAATGTTTTTGTCTCTTCAAACCTGAACTTTTCAGCTGGGTGTAGTGGCATATGCCTATAAACTCAGTGACTTAGGAGGCTTAGACAGGAGGGTTACAAGTTCAAGGTCACCCTCAGCAATTTATCACTCTGTCTCAGAATAAGGAGGTGGAGGGTAGGAGGGCTAGGGATGTAGCTCAGTGGTAAAAGTGTTCCTGGGTTAAATCCCCAGTAGTACCCCTCCTCTCCCATTCCTCCCCAACTCCCCCCCCCCAAAAAAAAAAAAAAAACTTAGCTTTTGGCTTCTACCCTCCCTCTCTTAACAGCCCTGTGCAACCACTAATCTACTTTCTGTCTCTATAGAGTTCATGATTCTGGATATTTTATACGAATGGGATCATTTTAATATGTGATCTTTTGATACTGGATTCTTTCACTTAGTGTGATATCTTCAACGATCATTTATATTGTAGTTTGTTTAAATATATCCTTTTTATGGCTGACTAATATTTCATTGTATGAATGTAACACATTTTTTTTTGTGTGTATCACTTCACCACCTGATGACATTTGGGTTATTTCTACTTTTAGATATTATGAACAACTTTAATTCTTCTGGGTATATAAGAAATATGGGTGTATGTGTGTGCCTGGGTGTGTGAGAAAGATGCACTCCTTTCTCCTTCAGCCTCAAGTTGGGCAGCTGTGGCTTGAACACTTTCCTGAGTCCCTGTTGCTTCTTGTTTAGCCATAGGAAATGAGATCGAGATTGGGGACCAGTAGGGCAGGAGAGAGAAGTCCATCGTGTGTGCTCTTTGTGGTGTCCTTCCCCAGTTAGTTTTTTTGACTCTCTTCCATCACAGTTACTTAGTGATTTTAAATCTACCCTGGTTTGGGAAACTCGACTTGGGAAAACTCAAAATTTATAATTTTCTCTCCCCCTCCTGCTAGGTGCTGGATAGTTTACTAGTCCAGTATGGAGTGGTGGAGAGCTGTGAGCAAGGTACATGTCTTCTGAATTGCTTTCAAATTTGTAAAAGGAAGAAAGTAGAAAGAAAACTAACTGTCTTCTCTCTGTTTTTCTCTTTCTCTAGTGAACACTGACTCGGAAACTGCAGTGGTAAAYGTAACCTATTCCAGTAAGGACCAAGCTAGACAGTAAGCAGTTTGAAACTTTTTAACTTTATGTAATCACTAGGTTAAGTACAGTAACTTATATTTTGTGGATTTCTTAATGGGAGAAGGGATGATGGGTAGCAGAAAGAAACTATTGGTAAACTTAGACCCTGCAATTAAGCATTTTTAAAAGAAGTTTGAATGTTTAGGAAAGACTGCATTTTATTACATTTTCAATATTCTTCAATGCCATTAACAGAGTAATGTAGTATACCCTGAACTACACCCTATTTTCTGGAAGTCTTGGGCCTGTATATTGTTTTCCAAGTTACATTTTTTTTTCATTGCTATTATGACACTTCATTGCTATTTTATCTGAAGCTGGCAAGTTGATCGTGGGTTAAACTAACAGATGTTGTCGTCTTGCTCCCTGAATTATCTAGTKATTACTATTGTCATTTAGGAGCAGGCAGACATTGAACAAATGTAACTTGCTTATAGATTTATGGAAAAAGTATAGCCCAATGCAGTTAATAAAACTTCACAGTTCCCTCTAGGAAAAGGTTCTGCAGGCTTTGAATGATCTAATGAACTGACTGAGCACTAGAGAGAGAAAACAAGGATCCCACGAATACTGCCTTTGACAGCTCTATTCAGAACATGAACATGGATAAGTGACATACAAAGCACCCAGCACAGAGCTGGGGATGTAGCTCAGTGGTAGAGCACTTGCCTAGCATGCCCCACGGTCCTGGGTTCAATCCCCAGCATTCCAAGAAGAAAATAAAAGAAAAAGAAACCCTACTATTAAGAAATGAAGCAGAACACTAGGTGTCAGCTGACTACAGAAGAGTCACCTCCAGATACAGCGCAGGCAGAAACGGACAGTCCTTTCTGTGTGCCAAGAAGGACAGCACTGGTGGACCCTGAGAGGGAAGGGGAAATAAACCTCAAGAGAGGAAATTCAAGTTACTAAAGGCAGAACCACTCACAGAAGGACTATGGCAGGAAGAATAAGCCTGGGAAGGAGAAGGAAATTTGTATAACACAAAAAGAACTGTTTTTAAATTGGTAATATTCATGTGGTACAAAATTTTAAAAAGATCTAAAGATGAGCATAGTGCAAATCTTCCTCCTTGTATTGTTCCCTAGCTGCCTCCCCTTTGTGAGAGCTGTGAGATAACCATATGGAAGACAAATACATGTTTGTATTTTTTTTTCCTTTTAGCTCAAATAATACCATAACATTTAAGTGTTTTACAAGTGTATGTGCTTTTTTTTTTTTCTTTTTGAACTGGAGGCACCTTACTACTGAATCACATTCCCAAACCTTTTTTTTTTTTTTAATTTTGAGACAAGGTCTTGCTAAGTTGCTGAGGGCCGCACTGAGTTTCTGAGGTTGGTCTTGAACTAGCGATCCTCCTGCCTCAGTCYCCCAAATAATGGGTATTATAGTTGCAGAGAATGATTTCTTGATATGAAATGACTTATTTAGTTCATCCCAAGATGCACATTTTGGTTGTTTTCAGTCTTTTGCAGCGTATGTGTGTGAGTCTACATATAGGATAAATTCTATGGTGTAGAGTTCTGTTTCTAATTTTATTTATTCTAGAGCTAGTTTATATGCCCATCAGTGTGTGAGAGGGTTTCTCCATAGTCTCCCCAGGGTGGGTTTCATCAAAATTTACCACTCTAAGAGGTGAAATTTCTCTCAAGTAAAATTGAAGGCTTTTAATGTTTTAAGAGCATTTTCTTTGTATCCTTGGTTCATTAAAAAAGCTTTTTCTATGTTCATACACGATCAGTGTAATTCCATATCATGTACAACCACAAGAATGGAAAGTTAATACTCCGTGTATGAATAATATACACTGTCATATATCTAAAAAGAACAAATAGAATTTTTAAAAATTTAAAGTTATTATGACTACTTATGTCTCTTATATAAGGTCTTGGACATAATAGAAAATGTGACAYGAGTGTTGTTTTTTTAAATTTTGAGACGAGGTCTTATAAAATGATATTTTATAAATTTTGCCCTTCAACTACATTATATAACAACAACAACAAGGGCTGGCGATGTGGCTCAAGCGGTGACTCACTCGCCTGGCATGCGCGGGGCACTGGGTTCAATCCTCAGGACCACATAAAAATAAAATAAAGATGTTGTGTCTACCGAAAACTAAAAAATAAATATTAAAAAATTCTCTCTCTCTCTCTCTCTCAAAAAAAAAAAAAAAAAGAAAAAGAAAAAAGAACAACAACAAGAAAATTTCACCTTTTAAACCCTCAGTAGATTAGGAGATAAAAGTAAGGGCATTGAAAAAGTAGATGCATGATTTGTCTTAACATGTTTTACTCTTTACAAAGATCTGTATTGAATACTTAGTAGAATCAAGTCCTTGTTGAATGGGAAATATGGGGTGAGAGAATAAATTCCAGAGTATTTGGAGATTGTCATGTATCTGTCTTAGTTGCCTTATTTGAAAATTTTCATGAGGCTAACAAAATTAAGGAGGGGATGCTTAATAGTTAAATGGGAGAAATCCTGTTGGAGACAACCTACATTGCTTTGAAGAAGCTTAAGAAAAACTTTGGTAGAGAGAAAGCAGTTAGCTTCCTGCTCCTTTTAATAATAATAATAATAATAATAATAACAATAATAATAATAATAATAATAAAAAGTTCCAAAGCACAGGAAGGTAGACTGGCTAGTCAAAGAAGAATTATTCTGAATGTGCCCCTAACATGACATCAAGGTGAAGGTGGAAACATTCTTTCTCTTTTTTAAAAATTCTTTATAATAGATATTAGTCTTATTGATACCAAGGGGGGTAGAAGGAAGGCTGTTGGGAATTGTCTGGTTTAGATAATTAGAATACCTAAATAAATAAATTAGGCATTTTAACTAGTAAAATAATTCACAATAACCCTTATTCTAATATTCAGTTAATTTTTGGGCTAGGATGTGGCTCAGTGATAGTGTTTGCTTGCCAAGCATGAAGCCCTGGGTTCAGTCCACAGTACCTCCCACCCTGTCCCAAAATCAGTTAAATTTTATCCAGTAGTAATTCAACYACAAGTTACCAGTGATTTAAGGCAAAGTCCTTGTCCTCAAAGATGTGCCTCCCACAGTGCAAGATGAGTATTTGAAGAGGGACCATTTGAATTTAGTTGCTATTTGAGTCTAGTTAGCTTATAAAAATATTGTCTGCAAAGGAGAATAGTTAACTTTTAAAGTGTTAATTTAGAGCTGTTTCCTTTGAGGGTTATTAAGGAAATSTGAAAGCACATGTAAATGACTAAAATAAAATTACAGAAGTATGTTTCTATATAAGGATTCTTAGTAATATGTCAAAGACTTAATACATATATTTATAACAAAAATTGTTTACTCTGATAGGGTATATACTTTATTATATTATTTAGAAAATAATTTCTAAGTATTAACTCCCCAGTGATTCAGGAAGCTGGGGCAGGAGGATTTCAAGTTTGAGGCAGGCCTTGGCAACTTAGTGAGATCCTGTCTCAAAATAAAAAATGACTGGAAGTGTATGTAGCTCATTAGTAAAGTGCCTCTGAATTCAGCCCCAGTTACACTGTTTCCTATTCCCAAGATGGTCCACATTCTCCCTTGAATTTATCTCTGCTTTCCTAAATCTGTCCATACCTCTTTTAAAAATATATAAATGTGTGTGTGTGTATATATATATATGTGTGTGTGTGTGTGTGTTTCTCCACCTTCTCTCAAGAATTCCAAAGATCAAAGACAATTAGAAAGCAATTGGGTATTTTAAAAAGTTAATGGATTTAAAGACTAGAAAATTCAGTTTTGTGACAGTGTCATGAAAATTTTCAGTTTTCCAATAATTTTTTAAAAATATGTTTTCAGTTGCAGTTGGACACAATACCTTTGTTTTATTWATTCATTTTTATGTGGTTCTGAAGATCAAACGCAGCACCCCGCACATGCCAAGCAAGCACTTGGCTGCTGAGCCCCAGCCCCAGCCCCCCAATAAAGTTATCAAGCTGGGCACAGTGGCACACTCCTATAATCCCAGGGACTCAGGAGGCTGGGACAGGAGGATCACAAGTTTGAGGAAAGCTTCAGCATCTTAACAAGGCCCTAAGCAACTTAGTGAGACCCTTTCTTGATATAAAGGGCTAGAGTGTAGCTCAGTGTTAAAGCATCCCTGGGTTCAAATCCCAACAGCAAAATGGGAAGRAAAAAAAAAAAAAAGGTGTATCTAAAAACCCAGCATATAGGCTTTCAGCAATAGTACCTTTTGTTAAACACACTGGGTTCTGGGCTGCTTCTGGAGTAGCTTGAAGCACCTTGAACTAGGAAGACTGTTCCCTCCAGGACTTGGTCYTCTGAACCCTGCAAGCCTGCTCCAGGCTAAACCAATGCAGTGTCATTTTTCCATGACATYCTGGCAGGCCACCTACAGGTCAAATCTTGAGGTGACAAGGGCCTCGTTGATCTTATTTGAGCTCTTTTCTCCTCCTGGCATCTGCTCCTTGGAAGTCTTYTGACTGCGATATGCTTGTGAGGGTGTGAGTGGAGCTTGGAAGTTTAGAGGATAGATTCCAGAGTCTAGTGGCCTGGACTGGACACAGAGGTGCCACCACTTTCCTGTCTGTGATTTTGGTCAAGTTAATCTGTTGGTTCACCCCTAGTCTCTAAAATGGGAATAATTATAGTCCTTGGCTCATGAGGCTGTTGGTATAAACTAAGATAATGCCTCCAAAGCACTTACCATAATAGGAGGTGGCGAGAGCTCAAAAGTTAGCAGCTGTTAGAATTTTCCCAATGTGTTTTTGCTGCTGGTTCTACCCTGTTATTATTCCGTGTACTGCASTTCAAATGTTGCCTGGTGGATCCTGAGGAGCTAGAGACCTAGGTTAAATGTTCATAGCCGCCTCTTTTTGTTACTTAAAGCTCTGTGATTGCCACTCTTAAAGAGGATTCCTGAAATATGGCTTTATTTCTAAGATAGATTTTAACATGGATATTCCTGCCACCTTGTGGCTAAGAAAAT